GAATTTCTTGATGGCGATGGATTTTCCGCGGTTGGAAGGAGACTTGGTCCTCACAAGGAACACCAGGCCGTACGTGCCCTCCCCGATCTTCCCTATGAGATCGTACTGTTGCAGCCACTCCGGCTTGTTACTATAACCACCGCTGTGGTTGTGGTTGTGGCCGTGGCCATGGCTGTGGTTGTTGTGGTGGTTGTGATTGTTGTTATGGTCTCTGTTGCCGCTTGCGCTGCCGTCACCCATGCTGGGTTGGACTTCCACTGCCACTCCACCTGTATCTGTACGTGCTGTAGTAGCGAAGATAGGCAAATATCTCTTTCTGTGCTCTCTACCTCCTTCCCCCTCCCGGCCGCCCCCCCTTTACAAATTCTTATTATTATTTGGGATTTGATCTAATTTTTCCGGTCTTTGATTTCCTTCCAATGTTTTCGGCGGGACCCACAGCTTTAGTCTTTTCTTCGATTTTCTTCCACTCTTTTTTTTTTTCATTAATAGTACTTTCAATATGCCCGTCAGTACTACATTTTGGTGGTATTCTTTTTTACTTAGAAGTGAGAGATCTCATATTTGAATCTCATGAATGGCGAATTCGATATCAAATTAAATTGCTCATTATGTGAATTTGCCGAACTCTTCATCATCTTAAGGTAAAAATATCGATGCACTAAAAAAAAACTTTCAATATATTAAAAAACTAGAGGTCTCAAGTTAGAATCTCGTGAATGACGAATTTGATACCAAATTAAACTACCTATTGTGTGCCTTTGTCGAACTCTCTCTTCATTTAATGTAAAAATATCGATGTATTAAAAAAAAACTTCCAATATATTAAAAAACTAGTATAATAATACAAGGCTTAGAAGAAAGAAACCCAATAAACAAACAAAAGATAAGGTAAAATATTCAAGCAAAATGAGAGCTCCAACCCAAGCCACTCTTCTATATGTTATATTTTGGGTCAACTATATTTTATAAATATTGATTAGTTTTACATTTTTACTTCTAATACATTTGTCTTAAAAGTTCTTAAAATACCTTTAAATTTAATAAAAGTATAGACAACCTTAGTAAAAATGGCTGATAATACAACACATTGTTGAGTTCAAGCACTAAAGAAACTATAAGAAAGTTCCGACTGAAATTAAATTAGGGATAAGATTTAGACATACTTATTATAATTAAGCCTTAAATTTAATTATAAAAAAAATAATAAAAAAGTGATGTGACATGTAAATGTGCTTTTAAAAAGACTGAAAACGTTTTTGGTGAAAATGTTTTTAGAATCAATCCTTAGTAAAAATGCCAGTATATCCTGAAAAAGCATTGAAAGTGATTTATGGAAGAAGCACATAATTAGTACTTCTTACAGAAAACACTTAAAGTGCTTTTGGAATTCAAAAACATTTTATTTAAAAGCAACTTTCAGTCATTTTAAAAGTACATTCAAACGAATCCATAAAAAAACCGAACTCAAAACATCAACTGCAATCAGTGGCGGATCCAGGAATCTTACCCCAAGGGGTCGCAGTGTAAAAGTTCAAATAAAAATTTAGGATGGAAAAACATATTGAAAATGAAATCATAGTACTTTCATTCATAATTCATAATGGAAACAATATTACAAACTATTGGGGAATGAAGCGTCGATTAATTCCCGCCACTGGCTTCCATACTCCCCGTTGGTGTCATTTATCAAGCCAATTGCCTCAAGACAACTTTCCATTGAGAAAACTGTGATTAATGAGGTGATGAAGTCTGTTGATTGATACCTCTTACCACATTCATCACCACGGAAGTTGCAGAAAATTGTTGAAAAGGACATAACAAGCTCTGGAACATGGCTAGATCTCCGGAATGATTTTGAGGAGGTTGTTTTCGAGATGGTAGAAGATGTTTTAGAAGAACTGATCATGGAAACCATGTTTTAGCAGCCCTTCTGAAAAATTATACTACCTATAGATTTGGTCTGCATTGGACAATGGAAATTAGGCACTCGGGTTGGTTAGAAGAACTGGTTTTAAGTCACTTGAGAAATGTCTTATGACTTCTTGAACAAGCATGCAAAGATCAGTATTGGGCACCCTTTGGATCTCATTTTGTGTACACTGCGTATAGTTTACATCAAACCTCTTATAGCTACTAACCATTAGTGTCATCTTTTTACTGTATGGGGAGGTCAATGTATATATCAAGCTAGATAATAAGCCTTGTGTCTTTGGTCTAGTGTCGACGGAGTAAGTCAACAATGTATTTCAATCTAGCTAGCAAAACGAAGTAAAGAAAATAAATAATATGAAAGGTTGACTGTTCCAATTACTTGTTGCTTTCTTTCAAATTGTGTTGTTTACATTTCTTAGATTGACACTCTTTTGGATATTTATTAATCCATAAGAAACTTAACCTGTTCATGAATATCTGCTTGTTTGGGTGCAAGTACAAACTGTACAATGCTATGGATTAGAGCTTAGTTACTAAATGCGTGTTTTCTAATCAGAACCCTTTTTTGGGTAAATGAATAAGAACCCTATTCTTCTTTTGTTAAGCAAACTCGGAACCTCTATGTTTCCATGTACAGGTGCAGTTACTGCCGACAACGATACTACGAATTTCTGTACATTTAACTTGGCTAAAATTTATGTTCATTAGGAATAGGAAATTAAATTAGGTAATATGAACTCTAATTGTTAGGGCTCTGTTATATAATTGCCTGATTTCATAGTATACCAAAACTCGGAAGCACATAAGCTGCTTCTATGAGAAGGGCTGCCAGAAACTTCAACGAAGTGATGGTTATGTTTCTGGCAGCGTTTGCTATCCTCTTGTTGAAGGTGCAGTCCAAGACTGGGGAAGATCATCAAAAGAAGACGACTGGAGCTGGATTGACAGCTTAAACTTGTCAATAAACCTGCAATCAAGAGTTTCCGGGTAATGAAATTGTTGTACTTAGATGCCGACGGTTTATAGTTTCTACAGAAGAACAACGAATTAGGATCTAATACTAGCTGAAAATGCAGAGTTTTTGGGATTAAACTACCCTACAAACACTCACAAGTATGTAAACTTGTTATGAAAAACCATCCAAAATAAACTAATAGCTTTTCAATATTGTATTTGAATTCACTGATTCATGAGGTAATTGCCTTCGTTTCCTTACCTAGGAACGCCTTTTTGTTTATAAAACCTCAAGGGCAGCTGGGTCGGAGCCGGATTTTCAGCATTATTTTGAAGAATGTAGGATTCGTTGCTTTCCATATAATATAAGCATTATTTTGAAGAATGTAGGATTCGTTGCTTTCCATGCGAGCGCTGCTTCTTCTTCCTCTTCCTGCCGAGTCTTGGTTCAGGATTTTTGTCGAACAGTTGGCGTGCGAGTCCGACCCCGACGACCCCAGCTCCAAGAGGTCGCATATGGGAGCTTCAAGGTTGTTTCCATGGTTTCCAAGGGGTCGTGCGACCCCGACGACCCCACTGTGGATCCGCCACTGACTGCAATGATCAATTCCAATGTTTTCCGATTTGGGCATTGTGGAGAAAACCTTTCTTTTAAAGGAAAACTAATGAAAAAACTTTAAAAATTTTGAATTTTAACGATAAGGACAAAATAAAGAGTAAAATGAATAGTACTAAGATTGATTTTTTAGTGTAAAAATGTGGTTTCTCGTTAAAGTGAGCAGTAATGAGAGTTTTTCGTTAAAGTTCCCTTCTTTTAAAGCATCCGCGATCGAAACAATTTATTCAACTACTCCGTCGATGATCCATTTTCATTTGATAAAATGAAGCTACAAAATTGTAGAGTCTATCGAGATGATCCACAACGTGCTATTGAAATAACCGATAGCATGAGCAACGAGTAATAAAAATGCAAATCAAATAATGAAACCACACAGAAAGTTTCATCATCTAAAAACACACAGCGCGGAACACCACCGTCAAACTTCTCTTTCCTGGCATCCGGTAATAAGGCCGGCCGCCTCTCTCCCCCATTTCGTTGTGGAGAGTTTTGTTTTCCCCCAGTTTGTGGCCGGGTTTTGTCGAACCCCTAGTTGTTTAGGTACCGGTCTTTGTGACCGGATTTTGTTTCCTATGGGTGTCGATTTTCTCTCCAGTCCGAATTTGGCTCTGATTTGGGTGAAGGTTTGGAGTTCACTTTAGATTTGTCTGAATCGTTTTGGGATATTTACAGATCCTCTGATTACAAACTGAAACATCAAGAGAAGAAAATAGGAAACTTTAACGAAAAGCTCCCGTACTGTTTACTTTAACGAAAAACCACATTTTTACACTAAAAAATCAATCATGATACTATTCACTTTACCCTTTATTTTTTCCTTATCGTTAAAACGCAAAGTTTTCAAGTCATTTTCATTAGTTTTCTAAGAAAAGAAGCTACACTCCTCTTCTGGTGGTGGATCTTCAAAGTTTCAGAACCGAGTCACATGGGATCTATCTGCCTTCCTGACATGGATAAATTAACTAAACACTCAAGCCTGCTAAACAAACTAATTCCATAGCTAAGAAAATTGGAGATTTTCATGGTCGGCTACATGAGAATGCTCAAGAGCAGGAAACCTACCAATCACCACTCAAAACGCCGGCGTCAAGTTCTTCCCCTAGCTCAATCCCAAACTCAGGTCAAATGGTAGATGCTAACAGAGAGGAGATTTACTCTGAGATGTTCCAAGTTTCACTACTTTCTGGACTCCAAAACAAGCAGAATATTTGGCATCCTCTATGTTATTGAATGTTTCTGATGACATAAATTGTACTGTTTTTCTTATGGGAAGAAAGCTTCAACAACCCTCCCTGTCATTGTTAAGAGATCATCCAATACATAATAAGCACAGGACTGCTGAGTAGGTTTACGTCAAGCGCAACTCATTAAGTTTTATAAATTTGAACTGATACTGTAAGTAGGTGTTGGTATTCTGCATTTAGATTGGAATAGAGTGGGAATTTGCCAGATGACAAAGTAAACAGTAGAAGGATCAATAATTACGATAATGTAAAGAGATTTTAGGCTGTTCGATTTCATTTCCAGTTTCAGCTTTCATTTTTTGAGCTAGTAGGCTAGTACCTTAACCGAATAAACACATGTCAACAAGTCACAATTTGAGGACCTTCAAATCCAGAGGCAATCAAAGAGAGAAACAACTATGTGTAGGATAAAACAAGATATCTCACTAATATTTGTCAAATATTAGACTTGCAGTCAATAGCATTTGATGGTAGCAGATAGCAGTACAAAATGATCGGCACATGCCACCGTTAAAAACCACCACCAAAAGACTTTGACCGAGATTTACTCTTACTTGACAACTTCATCAGATTTGCATGTTCTTCTTCCTCTTCCAGTTTTTTTCTCCTCGCAGCCTCTTCTTTTTGTCTCTGAATCAGCTCCAACTCTCGATACCGTTCCTCTTCTTTGGTCTGAAGTTCCAAAGCTTCTCTTCTCTGAGCCTCTTCCACCCTCCTCCGGTTCTCCTCCAGCATCTTATCAAGCTCTTCTCTCTCTTTCCGAGCTTGTTCCTGAGTAATGTGTGGAACCGCATCAAATGATTATGGGGATAATCAATAAAAACATTAGATGATAGGATGTGAAAACATTGACGATAATGGCGTTATTTGATCAAGTTTATTCATTCAACAGCACCATTTTAGGGCCAAAATTCCCAAAGCTAATACGGAATGTCATATTTGTGCTCATGTGGCAACCCAAATGAAAGGAGATAAAATTAAGGCCAGAAGCCAAGTTGCTTACTTCTTTCCGTCTTGCTTCAACAAGAGCAGCTTCCTTTTCCTTATCAAGTTGAGCCTTAACATCCTCAAACAATTTCTCCCGACCTTCTTCTATACGCCTCTCAATGTCTAACCTAACTTCATCTGAAGCCAGCCTCTCCTCCACATTTTTCCGAATCGCTTCCTCAAGTCTCCTTGCAGTCTCCTCTTCCAACTGTTTGAGTTCGGCCTCCTGCTGCCGCCTAATAGGGAAAACGGCATATTCAACAGAAGCAACAAACACACCACGGTCGGCGAAAGTAAAATCCGCAACTATCCAAACCGAAATGTTATGCAAAACACCACATTTCATCCAATTCTTGTAAAATTATCTAATTCACATATACCAACTACCAACACATTAAGAATCGTTTATACAATCAAGAAAATAGACCTGATTTTTTCTTCCTCCTCTTTCTTGAGTTTGTCAGCAGCATTTTTGCGTTCGTTTGAGGTCAGGCGTGGACTGTGAGATTTGGGCAAAGGAGGAGACAAAGAGCTGCTTCTGCTTCTGCTTCTATGTCGTCTATTAAGTCGTCTGGGTGTCGGAGACCGACTCTTGCGTCGCCTGTAACTTGCCGACCGACTCCTACGGCGGCGCGGGGAGGCACTCGAACGATTTCTTCTGTGTTTCCCGACAACCAATCAATCAGAAACTTGTAAATATTTGAATAAATATTTGAAAATTGGAGAGTTTAAGTTGTAAAATATGGGATAATGAGGGTTAAGAAGTGACCTGGAGGTGGAGTAAGGCGAGCGGCTTCGATCTCTCCGGCTTCGACCTCTGCTGTACGACGGCGACTTCGATACGCTCCGTCCCATCTTCTCTTTTTCCCTTTTTTGTCCTTTCTGATCTCTCTCACCTACGATGGGCAAAATACGCATGATTGCCCGCCTATTTAAAATTCACTGTTACGATTATGGATAATAATTTAGATGAACAAAATATATAACTATTTATTTGTGAAATTTAAATGGATAATTATGGTATTAGCTGTGATTATAATAGGTATCCATCTATTATAGGTATTACCCAAAATTATAAGTATCCGTTTATCCATTTAATTTAATATATGTAAACTGAGTTTCTTGTTTAGTGAATTTTGTATAGGTGTTGCTGGCATCAAGCGGATTCTTTATGGATTTGCTTTTGTGCTGCTGTACTCAAAATCCACAAATTTTATTTGACAGATCTGTCCTTCCGTTGATTTTTAAGTGTCGGTAGGAAGCAAGAATTACTTACGCATAAAAAACGTTACGGTGATGATATTTCAAACAAATATCGCATTGGTAGGTGTTGGACTTGCACACCATGGCACACCATGGCAAAGAAGTTTAGCCTTTGAGATATCCTAAGAGCAATTCCACCTCTAAAAATTTTGCGCCAGCATCCAACGTATTTATTCAATCAAGTAAACAGTAATAGACTCTAGTAAACAGTAATAAGCCAAAACATTTTCATCCCTAAACAAAAAATAGGCTGGTCAATTTATTAAAATATTATTATTTTTTATTATAAAATAATAATTTTAATTTTACTTTTTGACTTCTCCTTCCCTTCATCTCCTACAACTTCTCATCCCTTTCACACACAAAAACCTGATTCTCAGAAACTCACAGCTCCAACCCCAAAACTCCAATCCCAGAATTCCACTTTCCCAGAAAAGCTCAAAAGTTCCAATCTTAGGTGGTTGAATCGCGGGAGGTAGTCGGATTTGGAGGAAATGCACATGCAGATTTGGAGGAGCTCATGGGACGGGAAGCGGTAAAGTAGCCGTCCCCGATGGACAAGAGGGGGGTGGTTGAATCGCGGCGGTGAAGTAGCCGCCGCCGGTGGACAAGAGGGGGGTTTTGAGAGTGAGGTCGAGCGGGCGCGGAAATGGCGGGGAGGAGGACTCCACGGTGCTGCTGTGGCTGCTAGGGCTGTTGTTGATGTTCGTCATCGCAGCTAATTTGGCGTTGTTGTTCATGTTGGCGATGTGACGGCTCCGTGGCTCCTTACCCTCTGACACCACGCTGGCGTCAGCTAGGCGTCACTTGAGCCGGTCCCAAGGTTTGTTGATTTTAGGCCAGCCTGTGGACTGGCTTGGGCTGGGTGCCAGTCGATTCCACGGGCTGGAATGAATTGGCTAAGTCTCAGCCTGTTTTTTCCATTGAGTGCCGGCCTATCCCACCCCCGGTGGACTTGCTCTAAGGGTCAGGTCAGTTTGATGGGGGTCAAGCGACTAACTAAAGTAAAATATTTGATGAATCAATTTAATTCGAGAAGTCAATTTGAAGCAATATAAAGACATCTTCTCATCCATTTGAAGCAATTAAAATTTAATATATGTGTTTAATTATCAGAAAACGAAAATTATAATAAATTTTTCTTTTGTAATTTTTAAGTTGGTAAAAAAAAAAACATGTAGATGGGTGAAAAAGGGTAAATAGGTAAAAAATGACAAACATGTTCAAAACGGGTAAATGGTTATGGTTAAATTGGTAAACGGTTATGGATATGATTAACCGTTTATGCAATTACCCAACGGGTAAACGGTTATGCGGGTATAAACATAAACGGTTATGGGTAAATAACCGCGGTTACCCGCCCGTCATAACCGTTGCTCATCCCTACTCTCACCTTACTTCTTTAAACAATCATTTATCGCATGAACTATCATCTCCTTACTAATTAACCCCCTAAACTATTTTGTTTTCATCTGATTTATCTCGTAAGTATATAAAATTGATCAATTTCCTCTTTTTTAAAACGAACTAGCTAGTGTCTTTGCCACGTTAGTCCACTCTTTTGGAGCTTAGAAGACTCACATAGACATTTCATCTTCTCTTGACCACCATCACGTGATTCACCACGTAAGACATGTCGTGTGGAATACAAACCTAAAATACGTCCCCAACCACACCGAGTTACCCCGTATTTACCCCTTATTTTGTGTTTTATATACTTACCCACGATCATAACTAGTTTGGATTGAAGTTATGTCACAACCCCGCCCAGGCCCCTACCACATCTCGGGTTCGACTCTACCGTAGCACGATATTGTCCACTTTAGGCCCCGACGATGCCCTCATAGTTTTGTTTCTGGGAACTCAGACAAGAACTTCCTAGTGGGTCACCCATCTTGGGAATGCTTTTGCCCGAACTCGCTTAACTTCGGAGTTCCGATGAAATCCTAAGCCAGTGAGTTCCCAAAATGTCTCGTGCTAGGTAGAGATGAGAATATACATATAAGACTTACATGATCCACTTCCCTGAACGATGTGGGATGTTACAAGTTATGTATGAAGGGTTTTACCATAATTTCATAATATTTTAGTCGATAAAGAGCCTCTGCTAATGAGTAGCAAGCATACATTAGAGATTGAAAGAAAAATGAATATAATTTAGAGTTATTGATAATTTTTCAAAACGAAATAACTCAAAATAAAAGGGATAGACTAAAGATGAATTTAGTGTCATTTAATATTACGATCTAGTGATATTCTTTTTTACTTGTAAGTGAGAGTCTTAGGTTCAATTCTCACCAAATATGAATTTAAATCATATTATTGTTAACTCATATTTTCACCAAATACAAATTTAAATCACATTATTACTAACTCATTATTAATCCAAACCCACCTCTCTCTCGTTAAATGTTAAATAAACTGAATTTAAATCCAAAGGCCAAATAATAGGGGTTGTGGCTCGCACAAGGACCATACCTTTGCTCAACCTTTGAATTATCCAATATCTACTTGCCGTGGGTCCGGAAGGATGCTGACCCTTCACTTTCTCTCCCTCACCTCCACACCTCTCCTCTCCTCTCCTGCTACTCACTCTTTCCTCTACCCAAACATTACCAGTCTTCCTTCCATGGCCACTGCCTCACCCTTTTCCCCGGCATTGCCCCGAATTTACCACCCTAGTGCTCGTCCTACACCTGCTGCATCTGCATCTGCCCGCCCCCTCCTCACTTCCCAGAAACCGCCGCACAGCTTTTACCATGCTCATGCTGCTGCTAATCCAATTCCCGTATCATCATCTGTTACTGTGGGGAATTACCATCCTACCTCTCGGGTAGTCCTGACGACGAGGTGCAAGGCGATGGAGGTGTCCGTGGAGGAAGGGTCGGCGTCAGGGGGAGGAGGAGACAACTGGGTGCCGGTGGTGCCGCTGGCGGCGCTGCCAAGGGGGGAGCGGCGGGTGATAATTCAGGATGGGGAGGCCATACTGTTGCTGTGGTACAAGGATCAGGTGTATGCAATAGAGAATCGGTCCCCTGCCGAAGGGGCTTACAGCGAAGGCCTTCTCAATGCCAAGCTCACCCAGGTAGGTAGCAATTATACGCTTGGCACATTTTTGTAGTTGATTGAATAACGAATCAAGAGTTAACTGTTGTGGGTGCAGGATGGGTGTATAGTTTGCCCATCAACTGATAGCACATTTGATCTGCGCACCGGAGGCATCAAGGAGTGGTATCCGAAAAACCCCGTGCTGAGAGTTCTTACACCTGCTTTGCGGACGCTTTTCGTTTACCCCGTCAAAACTGATGAAGAGAACATTTACATCAGCCTCGGCCCTGCTTCCGATGATGCTGCCGCTGCCGCCGAGATTGTCTTCAGTGGCAAGGCTCAACCTGGTTTTACAGCCACAGATGTCAATGTGGATGAGGTACTTTTCTTTTTCTTCTTATTAATAACTTGCGGTGCAAGTGCAACGAGCCATTCCTTCTTACAGACAAATCACAGTAGTCTAGTCCGAAGTTAACGTGTTCGCGTATGGTATGCGATGTCAGGTGAAAATGGTGGTGGATGAGGGTATGGAAGTGGCGTTCGGCTTCACGGGGAGGAACGAAATAATAAACGGGAAGGCGGCAGTGATTGGGTTCCTGTTGTTGTTAGATTTTGAACTCTTGACTGGGAAAGGTATTCTTAAGGGGACAGGCTTCTTGGACTTTATTTACTCTGTTTCTAATGCTTTGCAGTAAACATTTCCAAATGTTAAATTAAATGTTTCTTCCAATTCCCAGCATGAAATATACACATATATATATAGGTTTTGCCACTTGTTCTCAGTTTGGATGCTTTCTTAGTTTCCTTATTATTTGTTATCACATGACTGCAATTTCTTGTTAAATTGTTGAATGTTGGTTGGTATGGTTGGTTCTGTTGTGCTTGATTGGTGTCTTTGGAATCGACCTAAAAGGGGTGTTGCTAGAAGACTTATTTTAAACCACTTTGTAGATCATATGATGTGGTTGTTGATGGTTGGAATCATTCTTTAAATAAAAATAGAATCCAACCTTCAACCATCACATCGTGTGGTTTACAGAATCGTGACGCCTCAATCGCTCTCTCTCAGTCTCGGCATTCATTTCTGGTTTCTGTTGGTGGCGTGGTTTTTAGGTTAATCCTACAGCTTGGGCACGCAGAGCTCATAGACTCAAGTAAAAAGACATACAAGCCCATCCACGCGCGGCACACTTGACCAATTTTCATTACTTTCAATGTGGTCGTGACATTTCTCAGTTATCATTCGAATTTAAGACCTCTCACTTCTGTCTGCCTAAGCCGCACAACAGCAGCCACGACCGTATATAAATGATCCAGAAGTACCACTGCCTTTGCATGACTGTTGTGGCGGCGGAGTTTTGTATCAGATCTGATGGGGTTCATGAGATGAGACCATGTTATATGTTACATGATGTTCGATTTTCTTTTGTTGTTGGCTACATCATGTAATGTAATTGCAGATGTCTTGTTCTTCAAAAAGGAAAAATTGAAGTACAGAAAATGCACCCATCAAAGACAGGCTAACAAATAAACTCTGAAATATATAAATTCTGTTGTGCTGAGTTTCTTTGGAAGACAATGGTTTAACAAATACAAACACAAACAAACAAAAAGATCCAAGAAAATTATGTTGTATGGGAACCATGTGTCCGTGACGCCCAGATACCAAAAACTAGAAACCAGAAAACGAATAATATTGCCCAGTAGCGTGCAGGTCCATACTTGATCCTGGTGAGCACAAACTGCAACATATAAAACCAAAATGATTATTACGGTCTCATTCGGTCCATAATGATTCCGGTAGATGTTGGATAGAATCAAAATTCCCTCAAATGTATATGATTAGTTGAAAACGAAGCATAACACAACTTTCTTCAACCTATGAATATCAATTCAAATCAAGTACAGGATTGAAGGCAAGGAAATCACAACATAGAGTTCGTTTTTAGTTTTCACTTTTTGTGATTGAGATAACGGGAAATTATATGGGGGAAAAGAGGGAGGAAGAAGGGTGGTGGGAAGGAAGGTAAACCATAAGGGTTTGTCCATTTTAATAATGTCTAGTGAAATCCACACATAGAGCACCATCCAGATTCAATGCAAATAAACATTATAAATGGAGGATAAAATGAAAAACGAGAAAGGTATAATTACTTACAAAGCGAAAGAAAACCACAACTGTCAAAGCACAAATTCCTCCAAGGAGAATATGAAGACCGCTTCTGGCAGTTTTCTGCACAAAAAACTAGAGTTTATCAAATATGAAATAAATGATGGTGATTAAAGGAAACTATATGGTGTAATACATGATTTATTTCTAAGAATGCCTTAATAGGAAAAGACGAGGAAGTTGATTAAAGGCCCTTTTGACTTGATATGAAGAGAACTTTATCCTAGGAAGCACTTGTTTTATTTAAAAAAAAAAAGAAAGATTGTATTATTAAAAAGAAGAAAAACGAGGAACAAAGAGAATGGTCCACCTCCGAACACAAAACAGAATAAACACAAACAGCTCCAAACGAGAAGGAAACACCCTAATAAAAATTTTAAGGCTGCCCCCTTCCAATCAAGCCAAATTAGGGAGCGGGAGATTCTATTGAACTCAGGAGAAATCGAGATCCAATAATTCTACTTAAGACTGCAAGCAACTAGAAAAAGATTACAAATCATAATTTAATCTGTACAATAAACGCTACACAGCCTAAGCAGTATAAACCACTGTTCTAAAAATCCCCATCTAGCCTGCCTAAATCCGCCTAGGCACCTGGCTAGGTCTCGACTCTCACTTAGACCGAAAATAGATCTTTCATTTTGCTTTTAATTTTTTTCACTAAATTGTAAGAGATTTGTTGAATACTTGGATGAAAACACATTATATACTTGTTCCTCAAGTTTTCATTAGGTTCTAATACTTTATTATCTATATATCATCCTATTTTTCAAGATTTATGTATCCCAATGCAAATGTGTACTTTTAAGTATAAGAATGCACTTATTTATACGATATATAATAAATTTACTTAAATCTGCCTAGTCCGCCTAGGTGTCCCTAGCCAGACGCCTGACTAGCGCCTAACATCTTTTAGAAACTTGGTATCAGCCAAAGTCTAAATAAATATTAGTACACAGCTCCTTCCATTCCATTATTACGGTTTTCACATATGATAGAATAGCAGCTTGCGGGAATCACCCAACTTATAGGGTTCTCCCTATCAAGCTTCAACCACAACATACATGAGCCTTAACCATACATAGTCCTGTCATTGTTGAATCTCGCTCTCTTTCTTCTACTGCTTACTTTCAAAGAGTTTAACAGATTGATTACATACTGTTTATACCATACTTAGGGCCTCCGTATTTAGATCTCGTATAAATACTCGAGGGACTCAAATGTAATTATGTAATAAAGGAAGGGGCAAATATGTAATAAATGAGGAGCCCTTATTCTATAAAAGGACTCCTCACCCTCACAATTAGAGGAGGCCAATCCCTAGGCCCTCTCACCGCCTCTCAAAGCTCTCACTCTCAGAGCTCTCCCTCAAAATACAATATCAGTATGGACGTAGCCCAAACCTTGGGGTGAACCACGATACATCTTGTGTTATTTACATTTCTTGCAGATTCACGGTCGGATTTACGTTGTTCCAAGACCTCCCGTTTTGTGCATCAACATTTGGCACCGTCTGTGGGAATCGACACAAAAAGTTATGTCGGTTCTCTCTCAATTTTTCACCTCCGCCATGAATCTGCAAAAAACTCAAGAGACAACCAAAACTCTCTTTGCCTCTCTCTTGCTTCTGATCTCTTTCACCTCTTCAAACAAAGCACCAATCTCTCTCTCTCTCTGTTTTCTCCAAAACCCAAAATCCCAAACCTTCAAATTTACCAAACGCAACCAAAGTTTCCCACAACTTGACGTTTTTGCCTAGATGGTTTCGGCTTCTACTCCTGCTAGAACTGCTTCTACTTCTCCTCTCCCTCCGCAGCTCCATCTCCCCCTTACTCGCCAACTGCACCAACCTCCAGGCCCTCGACCTCTCTTCCAACTTCCCCACCGACCCCATTCCCCAGCAATTGGACCTTCTCGTCCACCTCTCCGCCTTCGACGTCTCCAACAACAAGCTCGCAGGTCCGATTCCGATCTCGCTGGGCAATCGGAGTGGGAACCTGCCGAGATTCGATGCGACATCGTTTGAGGGAAACAAAGAGCTTTATGGGTACCCTTTGCCACCGCTGAAAAGCAAGGGGCTTTCGGTTCTGGCCATCGTCGGCATCGGATTGGGAAGTGGTTTCACGAGCTTGGTGCTTAATTTTACCGACATCTGCATTTTGGTTGAAAATTACAGAGCGGAAGATAGCGCTGGAAGAAGGGAAGATTAGCCACCTCATGCCTGATTATTGAGATGGATTTTGGGCTGATGGGTTTGGAGGGTCCCGACGCTGGAATAAGAGAGGCAACGGGAAAGGTTGGTGACCGATCTGGCTCCGCCTCTGCCAAGCAGCAAAGGTCTTGGCCGGCGGACGACGATTGGAGGACCCTAAAAATCCGAAGGCTCACAACACAGTTTTTACATTATCCGCTATGCGATTTCGAGATTATCGAGAAAAATGGGCAGGAAGTTCTTCGTCAGCGCCAACTGGAAATGCAATGGAACCTTCGATGAGGTGAAGAAGATCGTCAACATACTGAACAAGGGACAAGTTCCATCGCAAGACGTTGTGGAGTTTGTGGTTAGCCCACCGTATGTGTTTATTCCAGTAGGGAAGAGTTTGTTGAGGCCCGATTTCCATGTCGCGGCACAAAACTGCTAGGTCAAGAAGGGTGGTGCCTTCACTGGTGAAGTTAGTGCTGAGATGCTAGTCAATCTCGAAGTCTTATAACAGAGGCTACATGCCAGTGGTTATAATCAGGGATCTGGCCTTGGAAGTGCATCGTTTTCTAGCTTTGGAGCTAACAATCGTGGCTTTCTATCATTAGAAATAGCAAGCGGCATGTGAGGGGCAGCGGTCCTATATGCAGTTGCAATACCCCCCTTGGTATTCTTTATGAGCAGAATCGGAGCCCGAGGGCCTCAAAGCCAAAGAGTCAAATCATGGCTGATAGCTCTGTGGAGAACACCAAACATAATGCTTCTACAAACAAGGTCCTTGATGAATCGTTCAACAGGACTGATTTTGTAACAGAGTACAAAGATGCTAAGTTCTTCATTATCAAGTCATACAGTGAAGATAATGTTCACAAGAGCATCAAATATGGTGTTTGGGCCAGCACGCCAAACTGTAACAAAAAGTTGGAAGCTGCATATCGTGAAGCTAAGGAGATGCATGATAGCTGCCCAATTTTTCCTCTTCTTTTCGGTGAATGCTAATGCTCAGTTCGGTGGGGTGGCTGAAATGATTGGACCTGTTGATTTTGACAAGAGTCTGGATTACTAGCATGCATGTGGAGGCCAGCGAGGAGAATCATGGGGGAACACATGGGGGACAACGCAAAAGAGAAAGAAAAAGAAAAGGGAGACTACCAGTAAAGCTACAGGAAAAGAAACAAAAACAGAAAAGAAAAAGTAAAAGCAAAAGAAAGCAGAAAAGGAAAAGTCGAAAAGAAGATGCTCCACTATTCCACTATCCCACGGGATAACATGATTATAGATAAGAAGATGCCCACCAAGTTTCCCCGTCTCCACTTTCTGTTGGACCAAAAGATGCCCATCAACATGCTGAAAACATGTAATTTATTTTTCTTATCTTTCGGAGACATCTGTATAAACCCCATCAGAGGGTAATAGTAATAGTAATAGTAATAATAATAATAATAAACGGCAAAACCCAAAATAAATGGGCTGGAATGTTGTGTGGAGGACGAAGGCCCATAAGCCCAAAATAGCACCAACCAGGTGATCAAAAGTACGCCTAGTACTCCACAATTATTCGGCAACCTGCCGCTATTACCACCAACCAGGTTATCAAAAGTATGCCCAGTACCCCAAAATTATTTGGCAACCTCCCGCTATTACTACCAACCAGGTGATGAAATGTACAACCTGTACTCTAATAGCATTTGGCAACTAGCCATTCATGCCACCAACCAGGTGATGAAATGTACAACCCGTACTCTAATATCATTTGGCAACTAGCCATTTATGCCACCAACCAGGTGATGAAATGTACAACTCGTACTCTCCTTCATGCCACCGACAAGGTGATCAAAAGTACGCTCAGTACTCCAAATTATACATGAGCATTACTCATGTCATTCATACATAAACATTCATGAGTATCACTCATGACAATCATACATAAACATTCATGACCATCATTAATGTCAACATTCATGAGCATCACTCATGTTAACATTCATGAGCATCACTCACGTTAACATCTATAAGCATCACTCATGTCAATCAACATAAACATTCTTGAGCTTCATTTACAGAGCTCTAGGTTCAAAAGCTTCATTTACAGAGCTCTAGCTTCAAAAGCTTCATTTACAAAAGCTCCAGCTTCGAAAGCTTCATTTACAGAGCTCTAACTTCAAAGCTTCACTTGCAAAGCTTCAACTACAAAGCTTCAGCGTGGGGTATACAAATACCGCCTCCGAACAACCGTCACTTCGGCCCATACATGGATTTAATTTGAAGTCTCCAGCCAACATACTCTATTGACCGAAGACTTGGGGGACTACATTATGTACCATATATTGGGCCTCAACTGGGCCTCATGAAAAATACTTGGAGGACTTAGCCTATTATTTATGTATTAAAGAGCGAGCCCTTATTCTATAAAAGGGACTCCCTCACTTTCATTAGAGAGCACCCATTATTCATGTACTGAGGAGCGAGCCCTTATTTTATAAAAGAGACTCCCTCACCTTCATTAGAGAGCAACGCCGCCAGCTGAGCAACCGCCTCGCCGTGAGCATCACTCCTAACCCATCACTTATGTATTGAGGAGCGAGCCCTTATTCTATAAAAAGGACTCCCTCACCACCATTAGAGAGCATCGCTGCCTACTGAGCAACCGCCTCACCGCGAGCATCAACTCTAGCCCATCATTTATGTATTGAGGAGCGAGCCCTTATTCTATAAAAGGGACCCCTTCACCTTCAAGCGCCACAAGCCGAGCTAACCAAGGCAACATAAACCACAAGCCGAGCAGCCTTGCAACATGTGCTACTTATAGTTGAGCATCGTTTCACTTTAAGCACCGCCTCATATCAAGTACCAGTTCAAGACGACATCTAATTACTTCGGCCCACACATGGACTGAATTTCAAGTCTCTAGCCCAAAGACTCTTGACTGAAGATTTGGGGGACTACTGTTTATACCATACTTAGAGCCTCCGTATTTATATCTCGTATAAATACTCGGAAGACTCAAATGTAATTATATAATAAAGGAATGGGCAAATATGTAATAAGTGAGGAGCCCTTATTCTATAAAATGACTCATCACCCTCACAATTAGAGGAGGCCAATCCCTAGGCCCTCTCACCCCCTCTCAAAGCTCTCTCTCCCTCAGAAATACAATATCAGTGTGGACGTAGCCCAAACCTTGGGGTGAACCACGATACACCTTGTGTTATTTACATTTCTTGCAGATTCACGGTCGGATTTACGTTGTTCCAAGACCTCTGGTTTTGTGCATCAAGACATACCATTCCTTACACAGTCTCAAGCTGAAACTCAATCTTTGAGCACCGAATCCATACCTCAAAAAACAAAATTTTGTCCCAAAGATCACATATATTCTAAAAATTATGAAGGTGATCCATAATTTCTCTTAACCTTTAAGATCTTGGTAATGTTGTTCTGTGATGAAACACAAACCCTAGGAAGCTAAATATGCGATATTGCAGAATAATATGAACTCAAATGAAACAAACACACACAACACACAAATAATTGTTGTTGAGGTTCGGCTAACTTTGCCAACTTCCCCATGTGATCCCTTGAGAAGAAGAATAGCACAGATTACAAGCACTAGTTGAACCCTAGCTAAAACCCCAAAGCCGTGCTAACAATCCCTCTCTCACACCATACCTCTCAATACGTATTTTGCATGACAATGTGCTCTCAGAAACAGCCTAATTATATCACATAGGCCGTGGGGTTACATATCTTTTCATTTTTTGAAAAGAAGACTAGGTGGTTAAACCTAGTAAAACTAGGATAGTACTCTTTCTTTACTAATTCTACTCCTAGACCACCTAGGAATACTAGAGAAAATAGGCCTCGCAAACCAATCACAACGCTTAGAATTATGGTTCACCATAGAAGAATAAAAAAGAAATGAAAACAGACAATCAACTAGTTTTGCTAGTTGGTGGATTTCTTATCCATTTGTTGTAATTCCTTCCATTGTTTTAATAAAATTCTATCGTTTCTTCTCAGGACAAAAAAAAAATTCTTAATGTCTGAAAAAATTCAAATTTGACTAGCATGTAAAGATCAGTCAATGGTCCAATAAATTAATTTCCCCACAAAGCTTGCAGAATTTAAAGGGAAAAAATTCCTATCTGCACCATTTTTTGATAATTGAATGACACCAAATCTAACGTACCTTCCCAACACGAGGAGCTATAAGCCATGCAAGAGTAACAGTAAGAAGCCCTGTAGCAAGCAGAATTCCAGTACCTTCCACAGCCCATTTGGTTGCAGGATTTTCAGCAGGAACAATGACAGGATTCAAAGGTTGTTCCGATGCAACTTGTGAAATTTCAACAGAATTGCTATCTGTATTATTGTTATTGCTACTATTACCATATGGAGTAAACCACAGCGAAATTTCACTCAGTCGTTGCCTTCTGATAGCAGCTACAGCGTCAGGATCTATACCTGCACATGTATTGACCTGTGCGGCATCGGCTTCCCCCCTAGCAGTTCTTTCCCTCAATGTTTCATACTCCTTTAAGGAGACCATAACCTTTTTGAAGTCTGAAGTTCTGATATTTTTTGCAACACGTCCGCAGATTTCACAAACAGTGGATCCATGGTTGACAAACCATTTGAGTGCACAAGCGTAGTGTACCAGAGCAAGGTCATTTTTGCAAGAGCAACCAAGCTCAACTAACATGTCTTCATGGCGACATGAACCAGTCTCTAAATCAGCACTACATATGAAAACCTCTCCATCAGGGCTTATAAACTCCAAAAAACCAGATTCTTTTCCAACATTTTTCTGGGCGGAAATATCACATTCAGCATCTTTAGGGACTAGCGTACTGTGAGGTTTTACTTCCCCGTTGCTTATACATGCTTCTTGTAAAGGAGGAACAATACCCAAAAACCCTAACGCTGCATCTCCCCTTTTGTCCGATTCAGCACAATGGCACACGCGACAAGTTAGCAAGCTGGCCTCGTTGTCAAGACTATGGCGTGCTTGAGTACCAATATCATCACTATGTCCAGGTGAGCCATCGTCCTCACAGGCTACAATGCTAGCTTCCGATAAGCTTTCCTTGCCCATCAAGTGTTAGAGGTTTAATTTCAAGATGGCAATTTGTGCAACTGAGTTATTGAACCTCTCTATTTTGGTATAATTCCGACATCCAGGTCATTACATCAAGTGTACAATCATAAGAAACATAAGGCAAGAACTGCCGTTCCATAGAATAATGGCAGGTAACAAAAGTTCAGTTCCAGCTGTAAAAGGAAGCTAACCCTCCAAACATAATACAAGGGCCGGTAAAGAGATTAAAAAAGCCGGAAACATGAACTCTGCATCTCCTTGTAGCCTCTAATAAGACTTAATCTAAACATTGCTCCCATGTAGAGTCATTATAGACCCTGTTATGGTTAGATCCACTGACAAGCAAAAACAGCAGTGCATGGGAAATATGTCAGAGAGGCATGTCGACGACCAAGTTATAATTAACAACATAAGATAAAAGCATGCTAGGATAATAACTGTAAAATCACAAACCTAAGTTGTTATATGAACATATACAATGTGAAGAAACCACAAACCTAAAATGTAAACAGGAAATCGTTTAAGAATTATAAACCAAATAATAGAAAAAGAAACTATTACAGCAGGACAACCACTAACATGACATCCCACACCCATATTAAGGCCTCGTTTGGTATAGAGGATTGGATTGGATTTAAATGGATAAGCTACAATTTTGCTAAACTAAACTTCAATTCACAGAGCCTCATATCGCAATGCATTGAAAAATCAAACCCCTATTAATAGAAAATCAAAACCCTATAACAATGTATAATTCAGAGAATTAAGTAGATGCGGAAAGAAATTGACAAGCAAAATCGATGAGGGGTGCTTACATTGCTCCTTTCAATTTTGTTGCCGCCGCCGCACTAGACTGAAGAAGCGGAGCGCAGATATTAAGTGTTTGTGTGTTCGATTGTTGAAGAAAGAGCGAGCAAGCAAGAGGGAGATAGGATAGGATTGGAATTGGAATTGAGGTGTACGGCACCGGAAGCCTGAAGGCGAAGGGGATTGGATTGGGTTGGATTGGATTGATGGTTGAGAACGAAACAGTGGGAGGGATTTAGGGTTTGGTATTGGGAAAGCGAAATGCAAGAGTAGAGTGCAAAGCCGTCGGAAAAGATAGCTGACCTGAGATCGCAGGACTGGACACTGAAGGGAAGGGACTGGTTGTGATTTGTCCCAGAAGTTTCAGTGTCCCCTTCATTATATTTGCTGCCACCTGTCCCCACATCAGACACTATTCAACACCAACTTTCTCGTTTACTTCAAGTTTCCCTTGTAGAATACAAAGAGAAAATAGTTAACGGGAGGTCTCTCAAATTGGGATTTGGATCGCATCCGGATCTAAATTGTAGGGTCCTAGGAATTCTCATATTTTAATCTTTCATCGTACATCGTACGGTCAGAAATTGTTTAATTTTTTTATTTAAAACTAAATACAGATAGTATTTAACGAAAACTGATCGCACGATGTACGATGAACGGTTAAGATGTGGATTCCCACAAAATGGATACGGCGAGGATCCTCTTCCCTCAAATTGGCCTTCTCTGTTGGTCCGTCAATTTCGACTTCGATCCATTTGGTTTTTTTTGTTTAGATTTCGTCAATTATGTTATTAGTGTGCTAATATGGCACAAATCATTTCTTAATTGCCTTTGCAATTAAATAATTATTTAGCGAGGATTTTGTTACTAGTTTTGTGCATTCTTAAACAGAAATTAAAAGCAATAATTCAATGATATCACATCATATAGATTAAAGAGTTAATTATGGACTTAATTGATTAAATTACGAGCCACACAATTTAGTCGAAAGGTTGAGGCAGGTGGGAGTCTTTTTGGGATCATCTTAATTTCTTTTTTCTTCATAAACTATCCTAAATATATACATCATAATAGAAACCTAATACTAAAGGATTAGTCATTTAATACTACGGTCTAGTGGTATTTCTCTTTAACGTAAATAATATCGTTTGTTCAAAAAATAAAATACTAAACGAATGAGAGTTACAGAAACAGGGTAATAGAAAATTACAACTCCAAGAATAATAAGAGGAAGGAGGCATGCAAGCTCAATTTAATTAAATCTGAAAAAAAAAAAAAACCGAAAACAAAACATATACAAGCATCAAATCATATTCTCATTTTTAATATCAACCAATTCACATAACTCAAATTATATAATCTATGATCATCCTTATATTTAAATTTGTGGAAATTTTCAGGTCGACGGGCCGAGGGCCCACTCTAACAACACCGATATTGTCCCCACTTAACCACCTGCACAATCCTCAGGTGTGGAGTTTTATCACAAAAGGCCTTGATGTTAGTTAGAGAGGGGTATTTCTATTTAAAGCACTCTTTTCTTCTCCCTCTGTCCAATGTGGGACTGGGGTTCCAACACTCCCTCGCACGTGAGACCCCACTTATGGGTCACACGTGAATTTTCACACATCGGCAACCACGTGGAGCCATGTCAGGACTCACCCAATCACGCGGGGCCAATGGGGACCCACCCAAACACGTGGCATCTTTGGCCTACGTGGACAATCACGCGGGCCCAACGGGACCCACCCAATCACGTGGCAGTACAGGCCCGCCTCCTGGCTCTGATACCATGTGGAAATTTTTAGGTCGACGGGCCGAGGGCCCACTCTAACAACACCGATACTGTCCCCACTTAACCACCTGCACAATCCTCAGGTGTGGGGTTTTATCACAAAAGGCCTCGATGTTAGTTAGAGAGGGGTATTTCTATTTAAAGCACTCTTTTCTTCTCCCTCTGTCCGATGTGGGACTGGGGTTCCAACAAAATTCAACAATTAAATTTAATTAAATAACATACTTGAAGAAGAATAAAGATTTCTGTCTCTAGTCAGAATCAAAATTTTCACCAGAGCATTGTCCAAAGTATTTCCCCTTGTGAAAGCATGCTCAATAATTCAAATAAAAAAGCAAAAGCTGTTTGGGCCGAGGTACTGTTTATTTTTTCTTTAAACGAAGGCCCAAAGTTGTTTAGGTTAGTAAGTGATTATTGACCCAACATAAAATGGCCGACATCATTTTTTTTAAACAAGCGATACTACCAACATTAATAAGAGAAGGTAAACTTAATCTCACAATAGACTAGTAATGATGTGGTTCGAATTCGTTTTTGGCGAGAATGGAGCCTAAAACCTCTCTCACTTATAAATGAAGAGGAATATCACTAAACCATGGTACTAAGTAATAACCTTATTTTTTAGTTCAAACAGTTAGATTGTTTTTTATTTCTAGAAAAAGTTGCACACGTATACTTAGTCACGTTGCAAGCTCTTTCCTGCTGTTGGAAATGAATTTAGTGTAAAATATTGTTTATAAATAAAAAATGAAAAGGTGAGCCGTGGTTTTGTATGGAACCAAAATGACGTCAGAGACTCGGATTTTACTTACTGTTGGCATGAGAACCGCGTAAAATCCAATCCAAATGCGTTGAACCTTCCACAAAGACAGCGGCAGCAAGAAAAAGGCACAATATTTGAATCGAATTTAATAGGTCCCATTGGTTTTATGCAATGCGGGTGCCGCATTATCTATCTACTTTATCAATACAATTGCAAACCCACCGGAATACTCATAACTTCTTTATATTATATATATATATATATATGTATGTATGTTTGTATGTATGACATGTTCCTTCCAACTCATTGTTCTTCTTGTTCATAAATTCTTCCTTTCGTTAATCTTTGCTAACTAACATATGGAATTTGAATATTTGGAGGAACCCATTTTAAGAGAAACCCAATACTCCCCTTCCCCAACAGCAATCATCAGCAGCACTGGTACGACATCAGCTTCTCCTGATCATCAATCATCAGATTCATCACCTTATGACGACTGCGACCGCGGCGGAGAATCGTCGTTCTGTGCAACACTTGAGATGGAGGAGGTGCCAAAGAGCGAGTCCGAGCAGCTAAGGCTGTCTTGGCTACGCTCTCAAGTCGTCGGTGCTGCTGCAGAATTCAGTTCTCCTTTCGGGAGACGAAGACTCATCTACGCCGATCACACTGCCTCCGGACGCTCTCTTCTCTACATCGAAAACTTCATCGTCAAAAATGTCCTTCCCTTTTACGGTACGTATATTAACTCTGTATTGTATCAAATGTTACGAGTAGTTGGTTGATCTCAAGAACAAATCTACTAAATGAACGTGTGTGTTGACATGTTAAAGGGAATACTCACACCTGTGACAGCTTCGTCGGAAACCGGACGACGAAAATGGTGGGAGAAGCAGTCAAGTACTTGAAGAAATGCTTAGGGGTTGGAGCGGATGATGCACTCTTGCTGTGCGGCCAAGGCACTACCTCAGCAATCAAAAGGCTCCAAGAAGTGATGGGCATTGCCGTGCCATCAACCCTAAGAGATAGAATGCTGGGCAGTGATTTAATAGGCATGGAAGAGAGGTGGTTGGTTTTCGTCGGCCCTTACGAGCACCACTCGAACCTCCTCTCGTGGCGGCAAAGCTTAGCTCAAGTGATCGAGATCGGTCTGGACGAGGATGGCTTGTTGGACATGGAGGCTCTTAGACTACAACTCGAGTCATACAAGTACTCCAACCGCCCGATTTTGGGTTCCTTCTCGGCTTGTAGCAATGTGACCGGAATTTATTCGGATACACGAGCAATCGCTCGACTTCTTCATCAATATGGCGGCTTTGCATGCTTTGATTTCGCAGCAAGGTAAACCGACTACACCCCACCACTCGTTTTCTTTCATCTTGTTTTTGCATACAAGCCATATCAGGAGAGATGAATCGATCGCAGAAGAACCTCAATGCCTTTGTTAAAAATATAAAGTCAAATGCAAGTAGAACCTTTGGACATTACAACTAAAAACTGCAATTTTTTTTATTTTTATGATTTTTTATCAACTAGTTTGGTATACTGCTACTTGTTCTTATTTAATTAAATTAAACAAAAAATTGGTCAAATTAATTGAATTAATTTTGTTCTTAATTAATTAAATTGAAAAAAAAATTGGTTAAATTAAATTGTACAAAAAAAGTGGTCGAATTAATTAAATTAATTTTGTTCGTATACAAGCGATGTTGGTATACTGATACCTGTTGTTATTTAATTAAACTGAGTTTTTCTCGTGTTGGTATTGATTCGGTGTGCGACAAAATACAGTGGGCCGTATGTGGAAATTGAGATGAGGAGTGGACAGATAGACGGGTACGATGGTATTTTCCTGAGCCCACACAAGTTTGTAGGTGGGCCCGGAACCCCAGGCATACTTGTGATGAGCAAGGCACTGTATCGGCTCAAGTCTTTTCCCCCATCAACTTGTGGAGGTGGGACTGTTGCTTACGTCAATGGCTTCAATCCTGAGGTATTCCTTAATCCAAGTACTAATTTTTGGTTTTGCCAAAAGTTAGGATTAAATTAATTGTCAATTAATAACGAAAATCATGTGATCTGGTTCTAGATTCATAGCATCTGACTTGGTCATCTTGGCACCACACAAACAAAGCAATGTCCTTCTGCTGCTTTATGATTGTTTAATTTTTTCATTATGTCATTAATTTACAGCTATGTCTTAATTAATGTTACTGATAATTGGAGCATTGATTCATGTAGCAACAGTCCTCCTAGGTAACACCATTAGAATTTTCATCTAAAATAAAAGGTTAAAAGGAAAAACTAAGAACATGAGTTCGAACAGAGTTACCGGAAGAGATCATCGCTCCACATTGTAACAAGTTCAAGTCTTAATACTCACAGTCCAATTAGGTTAAAATTCAAAAACCAATATTCCAATTTTCTCTTAATATTACATTCATACATTATCAATGACAATCATTATTAACAAAAATTAAAAAAGAAATGTTGTGTTCAGGCATTTATTAAACCAATTCTATCATTTATGTGACCATTCAAATTAAAGGGCATGAGATTTGAACTCGAGATTTTCTCTAACGGAGCGGTTTAATGGCAACTAACATCACATATGTTGTAGTTTTATTATATGTGCAAGTTCATATATTATGTGACAAATGCAGGACACAGTGTACTGCGAGGACATAGAAGAGAGGGAAAACGGCGGTACTCCTCAAATCATCCAAACAATTAGAGCAGCCTTGGCTTTCTGGGTGAAGGAATACATTGGTTATCAAATCATTGAAAAGCAAGAGCAACTCCATGTTAAAA